AGCACCAGGTTATACTACTAAACATTATCCCGAGGGTGAGATTTAGCACCAGGTTATACTACAAAACATTATCCAGAGGGTGAGATTTAGCACCAGGTTATACTGCAAAACATTATCCCGAGGGTTTAGTTTACCTTCTTCAACACGACACAGGTGCATTTCCGTTTTTGCTAGAGAACAGATAAACCTATCTTTACCTACCTAGGTAGAGACAGCTCACGTAATGTTCTGTAAACGCGTCGCGTCATCACATTATGCGGTGTAACCAGGGTAGTGTCACAGATTTTTTCCACATTTTTTCTTGCGTCCGTGATGATGGCTCGGTGCGTATTTGTTCACCATTGCAACTTATCTGTGCCTTTATTTTAGTGTGGGAGAATAATTTGTTACACAATCATTAAGCATATAACAAATGTGACAACTTCAGGAATTAAGGCAAGGCTAGGTCTGGGACAAATAAGCCGTTCCTTTCCTGCTTTGTTTTCAACAATACACGCGCTTGCTACTTATTTCAGTTACTCACGAGTTCAACCTTCCTCCCCGCACCCCCATAAGCAAACACACAAATGTTAATATGGCCAAGTTTCAATATTAGCACTAACGTTTAATGGCGGTAAGTTTTCTCATTAAGAGGTAGATTATTTTCTGTAAAAATAAAATCAGTACTAACAAATGTCCCTTATGACAATGGGCAAAGAAATCTTTTGAAAAACGATCACTACTTGGTTGCTCACAAAAGTAGAAATATGGCCCACGAAGGGCGTACAAAATAATGATAAAACAGATAATTATTTGAATTTTTGTCATTTGCCTTCACCAAGTTCGTTGGAACGCTTCAAATACAAACAAATATATATATTAAATGTTGTGAAATCACGATATGGAATATACACTAGATAAACAGAATCGGGGAGCGCCTATTAAATGTTTGTTAGTCGATGCCGTAAGTCAAAGTAAATATTTAATGCAACATATGGTATTTTTGTCCATTAAGGACTCATCAGTGTCATTCAAATTCCCATTTTTTTTTTTTTTTTTTTTTTTTTTTTTTTTTTTTTTTTTTTTACAAAATTCGTTATGCAGAATATGGTTTAGGCTTTGAAGTTTTTATAACTATAATATGATTATCGATATTTAACTGAACCACTTTCAAAACTCATTCATTACAACTCGGAGTAAAGTATTGAAATATTTCGAAACTATGATTAATAAAATACGGATTTTGAAATAGAATCGAAAGAACTTCTGGAGAACCTAGAATCTCGGTCTTGCTGCCTTAGA